TCGGTTTATGTCTTTATAATGTTTTTACATCATTTTGTGAGGAGCATTTTTTGGTGACCTTGTTGCACCTAGTTTTTGTCTTAATAATAACAGTAATAATATTAATGAAAAAACAGGTCCTCCAAATCATGGACAATATGGACAGTCCCATAAATCAATGAAAATTACTCCGTTAGCACTTATTCGTTAACTGATCATGCTATCAGATACCGTTTGGAATTCGGTTAGTTCTCTTAATGTCAGTAAAAGATAATAAAAATCCATATAACATTGGCTTTTTGGGTCGATTCCCACTGTGACCTCCCATTTCGGTAAAGCTCTCATTCAAATGAAGTGTAAATATTCCAAAATTTCGGCTGCCATCTTAAAGAAAAAAATTGGTGCAGTGCAGAAAACCTTGATCTTATTAATAAGTGTGAACCAGCTATCGACAACTGAACTGATCTAAATATTTTGAATTGATATTAACGGAACATGAAGACTGGCTATTATGCTCTACTATTTTAAGCGGGTGAAAATTTGTCTACTCAAATATACCTACTTATTCAACACTTCGAATGGTTTTCATTATTGGAAGACAACTTGAGGCAACTGTCGTGTATCGGAAGCCTTTCATGATTAATTAAGCCTCTAACCAAACAAACAAACTAATTCATTTGACATCAATACACTTCTGACTTTGTTCGTGACTCATAATTATAAGGGTAGTCCGAAAAATGCTCAAGTGAAGTCACAAATCGCGTGGGCAAGATATTTTTGTTCGCAATACTGCACTATATTTGTTTCGCTAGTTCGAGCTCACCCAAGCAAAATCAATTTCAACTTTAGAAACAACCTTACTTCCTTGGTAAACAAAAGACTAATGAGTGACACCTCAGAAAAGACTTTGTGCAATGAAAAATCGTGGGCTGATAATCATCTGAGACACAGCAACTTGCCTATTAAATACAGTCATCAATGGGTTGGACGATTCTGCAGTGAAATCAGAATGTTTTAGTTAAACAAAAAACAGAAGAGTATTTTTTCATCTGCAAGTGGTATAGTAAAAAGAACCTAAACTTTATATATGGGAGTCGGGTGTGAGCGGTTTAAATTAGTATTTCATTCTCAGAAAACTAGCTATCTATACACTGAATATGAAATTAGAACTTATGTAAGAAACAAACAGATAACTGCCTAACATTTTTACCACAAAAGGGATAACAGTTGTGAACAAACTGATACTAGAATAAGAAAGGTGGAAAATATACGTTCCCATAGCAAGAGGGTCATAATATACAATACCACCTCTATTGTGAGCCTATCTTGAATTAATCAGAGCCCTACACATTCGTCCATTTGTAGTTTCAAAATTAGGTGTATCACAGAGAACGTCAGATTTAAATCACTTTGCATAGGCCTTTACTGTCAAACGCTTTTAAAGTGAATAGTGGATGCAAAATCAAAGTATAGTCAGCCTTTCAATGAACGAATTACAAGAATCCTATTTTCTTGAAAACGTTATTCTCACTGCAGATGACTAGGTCATCATTTTGGCAACGAAATCTTAAATATTGTTTCAAAATTGCCCTGAATTGTGCGCTGGCTGCATTTGTTAAACTAAATTTTAAAATTCAGCAGTTCAATATGTAGTTGTTCCTTACATAGCTGAAGGCTAACTAAAAAATTTGAAATGAAATTTGATGTTTGCACAGGTCAAAATTATCTACAGAGGATTATATTATGACTGTTCTAGAATGTTCTAAAGATGGATAGTGGCTAGCAGTGGAATTCAGGACGCATGTTTCATCCAACTTGAGACTCATCAGCTGGACGTACCCAGCTGCCAGTGAACGATGCTTATCACAATAAAACTCGAACACGGGATGGATTTCTTCAAACTCCACAGCGCTATCCATTAGGCTACAAAGTTACAACAGCCACTTGTCATGAGACTGATATAGTTTTATATGGTATTGCTTATATTATCCCGTCTTAAACTGAACCGAATTAATCGGTTCCTATTACCACATAGGCTATGGCATGGATGCCTCGATAATGCCCGTATTTTCGGTTTTGATATCAATCAAGGATGCAATGAATATCATATATTCTAAAATGACTTGAAAAAAAGTGCCGAGTAAGATGTGAAAAGTCAAATATTCTAATTCATATGCTATTTTAATTATCCAACCCCCAACCTTTTATCCATCTATCTAGTATATATATATATATATATATATATATATATATATATATATATATATATATATATATATATGAAGACTTATGAAATTAAGCATAGCGTCGTATTAAAAAACAAATTGTAGATCAGAAAATTTTCTTCCCCTTTTTGTTTTCCTCTAATTCCATCCCATAAGCAAGTTAAACTATTACAAAGGTAACTATTGATCACTGACTTTCACGAATCATGCCTTTTTTAAAAATCGTTATTTGGTTTTAAATTGTTTCTTGTCGACATTTTCATCATCAACGTATCCTTGACTTTGTTTACAAAAGAAACAGAGAACTGAGCAAATGGAGTTTAACAGCAATACTTCACGAAGAATTTTTATGGTTGATGGAACAGTTTATAATACTCTAGATTCATCTATTTGTTTGTATTTAAGTTGGTATCCATCAAGAACTGACATCGGTTGGAGGAACATTAGAAACCTAGGGGCACTGGATAGCTGTTTCTCCCCAGTATGGGACACCTCGGCGGTACAAGCCTATGACCCCTCTCCCAGTTAATTAAATCAGAAAAAAATATGAAACTGACTGTTATTTATTGCATTATCAATACATGGTTCAAGATACTGTCCACAAGCAAAGAGTATGCAGTTCGAATAATGTATGTTAAACAGGATGATACTACCTGCGTTTTGCTAAAGAAAGCTGAACTGTTGAGTACTTTTTCAATCATAGTATTTTGTAGCATTCACTAATTTCATATATACTGTAACGATCGTTGTGCAAAGGGATGTCGTCTGTCTGCAAGTACAGTTTTTCAGACAGAAATGCCCTAATCTAATCCAATAACAATCCCGAATAAAGTTAGAAATATTTTGAAGAACCTATTAGAGTGACTGACAGTTAACATGCCTTCTGGAGTTAGTGAGTTAACAAAAAAGCTTGCTATTTAAAACCTTAGGATGCAAAACTTCTTGATAAGACTGTAAACTGTCACAAATGACAAGCTGTAAATATTATCTGACCTTTCAGTTGTCCTTCCCTACATTCATTGATAACTTCAAGCAAATTAGCTTGTAAACTCGAGAAAAATTTCCAGCAGTTTACCTTTATTAAGGAATAGTAATTCCAAACTTATTTTTCAGGTGAACAAGGCTAGAATATAATTCATATAACTATGCAAAGTAGTTGTAAGTTGTTAAGTACAGAAACAACCCATAATATTTGATGGATATAAAGTAGCTTTGAAAATGATCTTTCTGTATGCGTTCAGAGTGGTAATATGAACAAGTGAAATTATGAACGAAAGTAATCCGACACCATACCTTGTGATTCTTCGAATAACTAGGTCTTATGTCTTTAGAAAAGTTAAAGGAACAACATCGTAATGGATATATTTTGCTGTCTTTATTAGCTAAATGACATGCATTATGCTTCACAATAGTGAAATGCTACCAAATACATTAAAATGGAAAAAAGGTTAACTGTTTACACACAATCTTTGTACTAAACGTAGAACATCTACATAGTACTCGATAACGTCTATTCATCGTTACTCATGCATCATTTTTTCTGTTCCTCTAAGTATGGTGTCATAGACACAACTTGAGAGTGTGTAAAATTTATTCGTTTTACAACTTCTACAAACCTATCCTGAAAGCTTCCCATCTTTTAGCTATACAGAATAAACCAAATACAAAGTCGAACGACCACGATACGTGAAGGATGTAGAAAGTTTAGTAAGCTTACTTTTTTATAAGCATGCTCTCTGAAAGGCTGAAGTGAGATTTGTAACATACCTAGGGGCTGAAGCTGTGGTCTTAGTTCAGGCAGACTACGATAAAATATGACTTAAAGTAATTAAAAGTGGGACCCACTGTGTGAACACCTTCAGATTCAAAGTAAATGATGTGAGAGTAAAGCTTGGCCACCGTTGTAGGGCATAATTCCATATTGGACTTTTTATGTAGAACAGGACACAGTGAAACAGTATTGTTTACTTGGTGACGTTCCGCAAAGAATTTACTGTTCATAGTCCCTTCAAAGTGATAAGCTATGACTATGAATAACAAATTTTACTCCAATCGTCATTCAATGAATAGAACTATTTCACTTTGCTCTATTCCAAACAACAAATCGAATAGGGAGGAAACGTGAGTACTCTCCTAATAGTTTCAGCAAATATTTCAAGCACATCAATAAGAAGCAGTTGCATGCGATCGTGAGAATTCATCAAAAGTAGTAACTTTATTGTCAACGGTAGATAAAGCTTTACCACTCAGTTATATCAGCCTATATGTAGCAAGACTGAAGAACTTATGATGTACCAAACTCCTTATGTCATACCCAGTAAGGTCTACTCGATTTCCTCATATCCCTGGAAAGGAATTAGCCCAGGAAATAGTGATCAGGTTAAGTCGTATGTTTTATTACTACAACATTTATTTTGTAAATATCCTTTACAGGTGAACAATAAACAAGTTTTACTCATATGGAGATTTTTTTCATAGCTAGATAATGTCCTTACAACTTCATTTCCCATTCTGTTTACCAAACAACCAAAGGTGAAACCGAAAATCAGAACAACAAAGTTTATCAGCTTTTAAATAAAATTGAGTACTAATGATTATAAAGTAGGACAGAGATAGTAAATTGATTCCTAATGTCGATCGCATAACCTGTTTGAGTTATATATATATATATATATATATATATATATATTCACCCTCTTTAAAATGATAGGGAACTTTTGGAAAGTGACTCATGAAAGTTTTGACTTAGCTTACCTTCCTTTCATCGTCAATATTTACTTATTATTATTAAAATAGATGTCACACGTGTAATAATGGCTCAAACAATAGGTGGTTTGTGTTATGGAGTTTTTGGAGGTCAACCATTAATCGTACTTTTATCAACAGCTCCATTAGCACTTTATATAAAAAGTAAGTATAAATTATTTGCATGAAATTATCATATTACAACATATATTATTAATTTTTCTCAGGATAAACAGGCCGGGTACAATCACCGCCCAAAATCAGCATACTGATCCTTAAGTAACTTTCGACGGAAACTGTATTTTCATGGAAATATTTTTACAGATGATTACTTTCGAAATTACTGACTGCGGTTAACTATTCTACTTCTGATGAAGGTTAGGTGTATATATAGTCTGAGATCATGAGTTTAAAAATGTGCCACGAACTAGGTTGCCTTAAAACTCAGTCACACTATATTTGAAATAATCTAAGTCTATTAATGCACTTCTAAAGCATGTGATGCAATAATCACTTGTAAAATCCTAAATTAAGCGGAGAATCTATATTTTGGAAACAGGTTTCCACAACTGATAGACGTCAGCTACAGTTAGTCATCTATTTAGTCGGTAAAAACATGGGACTTTGTGATAATACATTGCTAAGTCTGGTATTAGTGTATCACGATAGAAGCCCCAAAGATAAAAATATTGGTAGCGAAGCAAAAAACCTAACCAAAAGTGCTAGAAAGTTTTCAAGATAACAAGGAGGAATGAGACAATGACGAAATTCAACACTAAGATAACGTCTGGATGCATCTACGCCACTGGCATCAATTCTGAGCCGTATCGTTTACATTCTACAAGAATACCCCAACCGAGAAGTCCACTTTACCCACACGCCTAAGATCAACATTCAGACTTCATCGACTGATGCCACATTTTAGTATGGTTACCTTTAACCTCTTCTTAGTTTAATCCTACTCCGGTCAGCAAGAGGCACATGCGTAGTACATCTCGCAGCTACTTGAGTCGACAAAAGTTCATATCCTCATCTGTTTACTAGCTTCTTTGAGTTGAAACTCTACGTGTGGCTTCTACTTTATGAATGTGGCGGCACCACGATGCATGGTCTTTGCTACTAAAAGCAAACTAGACCTAGCACTCTGGGCCATCTTATCTCCTATCTTTTTTAATGATCATATTTGACAGCCATATTTTAGGATGGAGCAAACTGTGATGCGGTACACCTCATCCATAACAGGCAATCAGATTTTAAGTCAGCACCTTAAATTGCGTAAGTTGGCGATAGGCAGTCGAACCTTTTGCATCCATGACTACCGTTCGTCGGTTCCTGGTTTGGTAGGGTTGATTCGACTTGCAAAGTTACTGAAGTCCTCGGTGCACTCAGTCACTTCACTATTTTCAAACGAAACATCAATGCAAAGCTGCCAGTCATAAAAAAACAATTTAGATATAGGTAGTGGGAAACTCATTTTATACATTCTCAGGTTGCCTCTCAAGAAATCCAGAAAACGTCTCATCTTTTCAACGTATTCACCTAACAAGAATAAGTTATCTGCCTACTCTAGGTCTACCAAAGACTATTTTGTGATGCGATTGATCCTTTTAAAGTTATATGACGAGACGGACACCTCTATTAGTGCATTTATAGTAAGACCGAATAGAAATGGGGGCAGTGGGCATACTTGACGGGCATTATTCAATGTAAACGACTCAAGCGATTACTCACCACAGGCTCTGACACACCCATTGGTGTTCGAGTATACAACTTCCAATAGAGTAAAGTAATTACTCGGCACCTGTTTCAGTGAATGACACTGACGTAAGACCTCTTGATTGATGAAGAGTTAGAGGCTTCATCTCAGAATTCCATTCAGGATTTGACTGGATAGTAAATAGCAGAATGATAGCTTGGAGCTAGTTGAGAAATCCGTTAAAATGTCCCATTCTGAATTGTATATCTTCCAGAGACCCGTCCTTCTCCATTACGGTTTTACCAACCATTGACCCTTTTGCCACAGTTTCCTTCATAAACCTGAATAGCCATCTACTGTTGCCTGTCACTGCTCTCTTTTTCATTGCTGTGGCCCTCACTATACAGCAGTGCACGTGATCAATTCTTATCAGTCTACATTTGAAATACTTTCGCTCCTCAATATACTCGGAGAATGCAGAACTACTTTCACCTTTATTCATTATTCCTGAAGAAGCTGCTGAGATAAACTGACCTTTTCAAACCTCTTTCTGAAAGCCCACTATGGATTTTTACGGGTTTTTCCACGGAAGACGGAAGGGGTTTCGTCAAATTTATTATCTACGGAAAAACTGGAAACCAGAAATTACTCGACATATTTCCTACGGATAGAGATTCTTCACTGGAGCATACTTGCGATTCTAATAGTAACAGTGGTTTATTTTTTGTCGTCATATTGCATGCTTTTAGAAGTTGCAAAGCATGCATCAACGAGTAGTAACACGATTTTCGGTGTACATAATGGTTGTCTGCTTAATAACCTACAGGGTTGTCAATGAAAACTGACAAGGAGTCCCAAACCAAGACGAAATAGTTGTCTAGTGCATTCTGCTTTCAAGAGTTTTTTCTCTCCATTCAAATCCTTGTCTAAAACGTATCAAAGGTTATATACTTAATTTAAAAAATGAATTTAAATATAACAGTTGTTGTTTAGCATGAACAAAGTAACCGGCTGGTATTAGAGTATAATTTAGACACTTGGGAGGAGTGTGATTTCACTTCAGTTCCTTCATCCAGTTTGTCATACAACAAAACAGTATTATTCACTGGATGACGTTTTGAGCATATCCTACTGCTTATAGTTAATCAGTACGTTGTTTTCAAGACGTTATCCGGCGAATAATTCTGTTTCCCTGAAAGACACATTTAACAAAGCAAATGAAATAAGAAAATATCGGCTATGCTTCTGAAGTTGGTAACCTCAACAGCTGTCTAGCAACTACAAATTTAATTAACTACCTGATAAAAAACGTCCCTCAAATCACACAGACAAATGTAGCCTTATTTCAAACTAGTCACATTAAATTAACAATCTGAAAGGTTTTGAAAATATCATTGTTTACAAACTTTAGAGTTTGCCTTTTCAACTGCATTTCTCACTCATAGGATACGTTTGAAACATTTCATCATGTGTTTTTATGTACACAGGTAATAAATTTATGACGAAATATCTGTGTCATGATCGCAGAGAGTCACAGGTATTGGTACTAACTAGGACTCCAATGACCTCACAATCCGAAAACCCACTACTCCAAGGTTGGTTTCCCATTGGTTTATCAAGCCTCAAGTTTGCCGGCAGCTCCCCTTCATCGAGAGGCCAATCAGGTCGGATATGGATGTCGAAATTTCGTAGTCTGGATGCGTTACTCAAGAGTACATCCACTTCTTCTCTGTTACCTAAAACAATCTTTAAACTCCTCCTCTCATCAGGTTTTTCATTCTTTTCCTTACCTAGCCTGACTACTTTGAAGATATGCAATCCTGTGGAAGTTTCAGGTGGAATATATCTGATGGTCGACTCGACTAGTTTCAGATCATGGCTATGAAGTATTGAAGAGTCTTTGTCCTATGACTCCTCAACATTCCTAAAGACCACACTGGTCGTTGGTGTGGAATCCTTGAATCTCGTGTTGACGGCCTTTCAAACCTTTACGATAGGTTTCAGAAGCCTAGTAGCTTCGGTGGTAGCCTTGAGAGGTTTCTTCAAGTTCTTCCTTGAAGAAATCTATTCAGACTCTTTGATCGCCTCTATACAGTCAACACTGCTGACAGTGATGCCGTCTTTTGGTGAATCCTTAGGCACTATAGTTACTGTACTAGTTGCCCTCGGGTTTCTCTTGCATCACGTACGCATCAGAACTGGTGTAATCCAACCAATTAGATCACTAGTATTCAAAGGTACTATTGGAGATCTCGTGTCAGACTTATTAACAATAACGCTTGTAGTGTCACCACCTGATGCCGCATTAAGATGACAGCCATCATTACCATATGACTGTTTTTGGATCTGTAACAATTCGACAGCCTCCTTGGTTAGCGCAGACAAGAGCTTATAGCAGAAATCGTATAACCATAAAGAAGCCGGTTTGCTGCAACGCTTGTTCATGGTTGGTGTCAATCTGTTACAAACTTTGTAGAGCTAATATCCACATGCATCACATTACATACCTTTGTCTACTGGAAATTTACATCTGGGTCGACCGCAAACGTGACTATCGCCAACCATGTTATTCACAATTCAGTCAAATTTTTCACGAACACCATATTCGAACTTAAGTGTTCGGTCAAAATTTGAACATAAAGACTAAGTTGCGACAACCCAAAAACCAATCTTAAGCCTCAAAATGACGAAATTCAAATGCTGACTCAATTACCTCAAGTCAGGGTTTATAAGAAAGCCACTGATGTGGGTTACGCAACAAACCGGGTAAAAATTCACTTACTGTTTTCGAAGCGCTCGCGAAGTGATTTTAGTCTCATCACAGCAGTTTATAAAATTAACGTATATCTTTTTTCACTTTTAGTTATCTACACTATATCTCAAACATACCATATTAATTTTTATGCAATGTATGGATGTATTGGATTATTTAATAGTCTCTTCTTAATTATATACTCTGTTTGTGGATTCAGTCGCTGGATGAAATGGTCCACAAGGTTGGTAACCATTCAATAATGTATGTGATATATATATATATATATATATATATATATATATATATATATATATATATATTTACCAACAAGTCAGTTTAATTTCAAGTACTAACTGTTTTCAGTCGAGTGTTGCATAACTCCGTATGGTTAGAAAATGTGATATAATATGCTATTTTCATACTTCAGTGAAAATAAAAATCCTATAAACAATATTACATATTTATAGTAATGATGGGTATTGGCTAGCAGTGGAATCCAGAATGCACATTTCGTCCTATTTGGGACTCGTCAGCTGGATTCCACTGCTAGCCACTGCCCATCATTACTATACATAGTTAAGAAGACAGGCATCCGCATAGCAGCCCATATGCCAACAGAGACTGATCAATTCGGTTCAATCAACGGCGGTATAATACAAGCAATAACACTAAATATTACATATTCTTTCTGTGCTTCGATCAAAAAGTGATTATTTTACATACAACTATAAGACCTCCATTAGGTATTATTCTTCCGTGCAGAAACGGTAGTGAATATTTCCAGCTCTCAAAGTAAATGTTCTAGGAGATTTCTGTTCCTCTGCAAATTATGACTTTTCTGAGCTAACCAGTCTACATCTGTCTACACAGTGTATTCCGGTTTTTTTCAAAGGTAATTACAAAGGTTATTTTTCCTTAATCGCATAGTAAGTGGGTGGATAGCTTATTTCATTTTCCCTGATCTCTTTATTCTTGCAATAAGGTCATATGTTTACACTGAGTATACTTTGATTTGGTTTGTTTCAGGGTTCATCCCTTCACTGATTTGATTTTTTACAATGAAATGAATATCGTGACTCTATTAACCCTGATCAAGAGGACTTCACTAAATGAAACAGTCCCTTTTTAACAATGAGAAAGCCATTTGTAATTGCATTTAAAAATTATTCAGCACAGTAATATGACACCATTACAGTCAGTCAGGCACACTGATTAGAGGACAACAATAAAGACGATAGTTATCACAATAACAAACTATTTCAAAAGTTTATATAATGTAGGCAGTCATTCATTTTGAACGTGTGAATGGACTGTGTAAGCATTAACTGATCGAAATATAACTTCTTACCAGATAAACTGTGCCTAATAATGTTATCTATTATTCTTGAGAACAAAATATAAAGAAATCAAAGACACCTACCTTTCGATGATTTATGTCCAATGTCGCACAAACTGGAAGATCTACAGGCGAAAACTAATAAGTTGATGGAAGAGGCGAGGCAGCAAAAACGAGACTTCAAGTGAATGCAGAGAAGACGCAGGTGATGAGGATACCCAACAAACAACACCATCAACAACAACAAGCTCCAATCACCATAAACGGCAGAAACTTAAAGGAAGCAGTCTCTTTCACCTACCACCTGAGCAGCATCGTTTCAACCACAGGCGACACAGAAGAGGATGTCAAAACCAGGATCAGAAAAGCAAGACAAACTTTCACTAATCTGAAATCAGTGTGGAGATCTACTGCACTCAGCATGTGGAACAACTTCAGGATTTTCAACACCAATTCAGTCACGTCAGTGCTTCCATATGGTTCAGAGAATTGGCGTGTTACGAAAGACATTTCCAACAAACTACAGACATCCATCAACAACTGCCGACTACGCTGGCTCGATACTGACAGTGAAGATCAGATGGCCAGAATAATAAGAATAAGCAACAAGGAAGTCTGACTGGCTGTTAACCAACCAACCAAGAGTCCATCACTCAACAAATATGCACTGGAGGGGAGTGGAGATAGATGTACTGGGCATACACTGAGGAGGCCGATTGGGGACATCACGCGCCAGGCAAGGCGGTCGAGTGGAACCCAGATGAGAAGCGACGAGTTGGGCATACCAGCTGAGGGTGACATGGAGGAGGTGGTGTGATGAATAAATGCGAGCTTGTGGGCAGTGGTGTGGCGAGTTTGTAAAGACTTCGGAGAATAGAGTGTAATGGGGACATGCTACTGAAGCCCAATATTCTACCAGGAACCCAAGGGACAAATAATTATGATAAATAGAAAACCACCGAAAGTTGTGAGCCTGTATAAGACACTGTGAGTGCTTCGGATAATCTGCTGAAGAACAATGGTAATATGGAGCCTATGAAACAAGAGGTAAGACTGTCGAATGCATAAATCACACAAGTCTGATTATTAAACAGTAATACTGACTGCTCTCAACAGAACTTTATCAGAAGATGCCTATCCCGTACATCATCATTCGCAAAGTCATCGACAGAAACCAACAAACCCATCATCTTACAATGCATAAAGAATTTATCAGAAATCGCTACATGATCACTGAGACCACTTGGAGTTCGTGTGGCCCATAAACCAACAAATTCCTTGCAAAAACTATTATGCAGACCAAAATATGCGACAACCAAAAAAGGCAAACCGTACATCATTTACAAAATCAAGTGCAATAACTGTAGTCAACACTACATTGTACAAAGTGGTCGGCCTCTTCGCCTTCGTCTTCATGAATATCAATTGGCTGTTAAACGTCATGACATTTCATCACTCATTTTAATGCACGTGGATAACAACTATGGACATGAATTCAATTTCGACAATGCAGAAATCTTGGACAGAGAGAGGAAACACAAAGAATATCTGGGAATTTCTAGAAGCCTAGCATTCAGGTCAGTCAGTCAGTCAGCGATCGATAGATGTATAGACATAGACCCAATCTATCAACCAATAAGAAAGATGATAAACGACAGGAAGGTCAGAGGTCAAGCAGAGGGACAGCCAACAGGAAAATCTATACAGTCAATAACACAACAATCAAAGGAAACAATCGATCACAGACCACTTAGTCATGGCTAGCTACTAAATCACTCACGGAGAGATACTGACAACTCACTTCATACTGAAGTTAGTGCTGATGATTTCGTCTAGAAAGACGATGAAAGCTCCACGGTTAAACAACCCAGTTCAGAGAACACAATACAACGAAAACCATCCACCTGAGCTACAAATATTCTCTACTGTTTCAAAATAACCAAAATGAATTACTTTGGTCAAGGTAGAGAAAGCGGTCTCACACAACGTTTTTGAAACCAAAGTTTCAGTTTTTTGTTCATGCATAGCTAATGCTTCAGCTATGCATAAGTAGTGGGAACATAAACCTTTGGGGTAGTTTATCAGCAACACGTTTTTTGAGGGTCTGCTTACAATGTCCAACACAGTTAGCTCCACAGCAGCACCCGGATTTGTAGATACACAAAGAAGTGGACATAGGTGATAGCCTATCCTTTGCGAATTGTCAAAGGCGACGGCTGAAGAAAATCAGTCTCAATCTAGTAGAACGGTTTTTGAGCACTTCGGCTGTGGCGTCCCCTTTGAATTTCAGTTTCATGGTTTAAATTTTCCTAAGAACTATAATAAGATGAGGTATGATTCACTTCTTCAGGTTTTTATCAATAAATCTTTCAGGGTATCCGTTATTCGATAGTATTCTTCTAGGAGTTTCAAACTCAACATTCACTATGTCTTCTGAACAGACTCTATAGATTCTGGAACACGGCAAGTGAATAAGATTTCTTTTAGAACTAGGAGGTATCAAACTATCAAGGTCAGTGAACTGACTAGTCCAAGTTGGATTGAAATATGGTGACCTTTGTTTCAAGTCATCATCTCTTCTCCTTAGCATTACGTCTAGAAAGTGCAACGGGTGACAATCATTGATGCGTCTTCTCACCTCGTCCACTGAACACATTTCGTCGCCAATAAGAAAAGTATCGTCAGTGTACCTTTTACGCAAATAAAGTTCCCAGATTATTCTTCTAAGCGGCCCTTATTCGAGCTTTGCCACAAAGATATCAACCAGAACAGGGACAGGACTCATCATTAAACTCGAACTGTACACTTAACATACATCTTAATATCAGTTCTTTTAGGTGGCTCGTAGGTGATCCAATTTTTATTTTATTATTAGAATCAATGTAAACACATAGATAAGAAGTAGTTTCAACAAGCGGAACATTGGTAAATAAAGAACAAACATCAAGTGATATCATACGCCTGTGCGTTACCTTGATTTCTTCGATGCAACAAACTGAACCAAATATATCCGGAAGACTATATTTGTACAGATTTGATCTTATAGGTCCAAGTATCTTAGCAAGCCACTTCGATAATGAGTGATAAGGTGAATTAAGCATATTCAATGCTGGGTTAAGAGGAAGACCATCTTTTTGCACGTTCCGCAGACCATATAAACAGGTTGTGTTTGAGTATCTAAGCAGTTAATAACACAACAATCCAAGGGAACAAATAATCACAAACTAGTTGGTCACGGCAAGCCAATGAATCACTAGAGGAGAGATATTGACAGCTCACTTCATACTGAAGTTAGTGCTGATGATTTCGTCTAAAAAGACGATGAAAGCTTCACGGTTAGACAACTCAGTTCAGAGAACACAATACACACACAAATATTCTCTACGATTACGACAATTCAATATTAAATTAACAGTTTTTGCTGTGACTACAGTTTATTATATTGTGTACATGAAGATTGGCGGTTATGGTACATTGGTTGACAGTGTCTTCACCACAAAAATGTTTGCTTATTGGCATGCGCCACTACTGACGCGTAACTGTGCAGTGGTTAAGAAATGTGTCAATACTACCCATTTACTTTATGAATAAACATGGTCAAAGCACTGTGACTGAATATCGTTTTTCAACCTTTTATAAATAACACTTTCCGCATTTCACAGAAGTATATTCAGTATGTGGTTTTTTCGTAACCATGCCAAAAGCTGCATATGTTTTATTTAACCTCTCAAGTACAATTAAGTACAGGCTTTTAATAAATCCGTAGGTCACTTTGTTTTCCGATGCATTATAATCTAAAAATAAATATTAGTACTATTTAGCTCTTGATCTGACAACAACAACAACAACAACTACTACTACTACTACTACTACTACTCTTAGTGCTAATACTAATTCCAACACCAATACTAATCTTGCCATAATAATAAAGTTTCACATAGTTAACCAAAACTTTCACTTTCCAACTAGAATTCCAGACCTACTGCTATGCTTTCCGGCAATCTAAATATTCCTGTATTGCGTCTTTCTGGTCAATTACCTAACTTTTACAGTGTGACAGTACATTCATGACGTCAAATGTCACATTTTCTAGAGCCGAAGTGATCATTAAAGGATAATATAGCTCTGATACAAAGAAGAATAACTGAAGTGGTCACCTTGCTGTATATAAAAAAATAGACGCAGATTTGGGTGTGAATTTTAAGAAGGGAGATTTTTTAGTGAAACATTTTCATTGAGCGATTCCATTATTAAGCTGTTCAGTTGAATTTGCATTTCACAAAAATGTCAGTCACATTCACAAACTACTCGGTTGATACATATGTGAGAAGCAGTTGAAGAGCAAGGAGAGCAAAAATAAGTCCTCAGAAATAAAGTATGTTTAAAGTTTAGCACGGTAATCAGAAGAAAAAAAGGATTCAGACAAATCTCTTTCAACCATAAGTTTCATGAAGATGGTAAGTCCCGTTAGAGTAAGATGAAATTTGACGTATTCTAACCATCAAGAGATCACTAAACTCAGAGAGATGCCAACTGTGATTATCGCACAGTATTTGTCCATCCAGTAACTTAGAATATATGTTGCTGATCTATTCAAATAAAGCACTAAGGAAATAAAGAAGATAACTGATTATCTAACTATCAACTTATTGGCTTGAGTCATAAGACAGATTTTCTGTTAAGTGCCTTCATGTTTGGAATGCTTTAAGGTTAGTTAGTATAGAGACTGTCACACCTTAAATGTTATATAGTTAAGCAGTGTAACGGACCAGTACACTCGCGTATGCAACTTTCTGACGATTTATCTATGATAATTATTAAAACTTACACTTCAGTTACATCTCAGCAAGACGAAGTTTGTAAAAGAAGTGAAGTGTACTGGCACACCGTTCTCTGAATAATATGGCAACATGTTCACCTGTCAAAGCATTCCATGTGCAAGATGAAAACACATTGAAATCAGATAGCTAAAATTAGGGAAATAAAAGATTTGATGATAGATGTTTTATATAGGAGAGATAATATGTTTTCACACCAGTCATGGAGCTAAAATGAGATCAACATTACTTCCAGAATTAACTGCAGTTTTTTCAGTTACCATTTTCAAAAATCGTAGACCATATCGTAAAGTGGCCTTGACTGGAAAACTACCAAAAAAGCTGCAGGCACTGGATAGCTTTTTGTTCTACTTGGGACTCTTCAGCGCTTCACTCTCATAACTCAATGATGCATTTGGTCCAGGAAGTTTAGTTCTCACAGCGAGAATTAGCAGACAATTTGCACTAGTTTAGTTGGGATTTTGTCTATTAAGAAAGTGAATGACAATTTGGGCTGTTGGAAGATAAAACTCCATATATTTATCTTTCATCAGTTGTTTTACGCAGTTACTGGCATATTGCCGTAATGGAGGAAGAAGGAATCATTTAAATTTGACACAATACAAATCTCTGACTAATTCTTCGTAGAACCAAATATAGTCCCCAAATGTCTCTGCACTCAGTAGAACCTACAAATCCTTTCTTTCGCATTATTAAGATTGATGGATACCGTCTATGATAGTCATTTCAAAATGTTGCAAATGTTTGTGTTGACTGAATACAAGAAAATAATATCCAGACAAAACGTTTAGTCTCACATTTGATTTCAGCTTCAGAGACCTAAAGTAATTCAGAACTGCATTGATATTTCTAGTATGCTTCATGTTTAGCAAAGAAATGTAACACTTTTTTCGTGTATACCGATCTAGATAAGATTTTTACAGTTATTTCGACATTCGAAACCATTATTTTGTTACCGCTATTTTTAAATGGATATTTGAAAATAGAACTGTGATCATTTTACAAGTCTATAGTAAGATTTTTTACAGTGACGAAATTATGCGAATCAATTTTTTTACCTGACAGAAAAATAACTGATTGATTACTGAAATAAACTGGAAAAGTAAACTTCTGTTGCATTTCTGTTTCTCAGAATGATTACACCAACGACTTATGCTACTTCTCCTTCATTATATTTTTCAACAGATCAACAGAGGAGATATTTGCAATGTTTGTTTCAATGGCATTTGCATATGATGCTGGGAATGATCTATATGCAAGTAAGTTATTCATTTTGTATGCAAACACAGTGAAACAATTCACAATGAGTCCAATAAATGAATTAGATCACTTTAACTAGTTATATTCAATGAACAAGTTCATCCACAGCTGAATGAAATAAAGCCATTGTAATCACAAGATTTATTCTGCTTATTTATCTACAAAAGCTATCCTGATTTTTATCTTAAACTAGCGACCACTGTTTTTAAAGCATTTTGAAAAGTCACTAAACAATTAAATGTGAGGAGAATGGAAATTTCATTTGTTCCACGGGTATTATTATGAACTTAAAACCTTCAACACTAATTTTTCTAAATTGTTGATAGCAGATGTTGAGAAACATACACATCTAGAAAAAGATGACACTATGATACATAGCCTGGAGCTTATTTTGAGTCATGGGACATCTCACAATAAAACAGTATTTAAGATGCCATTATAGCAATTAGAGTTATTTCACAGTGCTTCGCTATGCCTTCACAAAGTACTGAATAAACTTATCAGGTCTGAAGTTTGTGGAAAAAAACAAAAATGGTCGTAAAGAGGTCCCTTCAAAATGAAAACAAGGAGCGTAACACTGAAAGATAGAGAGATTTATGAGACAGAATATGAAAGAATGATTCAAACAATAACTGTGTGGAACTTTTTTCTCTAAAAAGAAACATAGTACACAATGTATAACTTATCAACCGTGTTCCATACTAATCACCTGATCCCTAAATTACTACTAAATATATATGGATAGATGGAAATACTACTTATTGCTCAAAAATCTTGATTGTTGCACAAAGAAGTAAGGAGTACCTATCAAAAATAAGTGTATAACAACTAGTTTATTGATTATCTCAAACGCTTGGTTTTAATTCTAGCTTTTTATCACTTTTCTTACAGCATTGTTATGGTAGTTTTCTGTGAAATTTTCCGCTCCCATAAACCAATCATTTTTTCTCTTTTTTCTGTTAATATTCAGCATTTAAGGAGAATTATCACTGTAAATCATCAATAAACTATTCACTACTCAATGAAACTCAGGAATTTGATAAAAGTTTTGTTAATTCAACTGACACAAATGGTAGAATTTGATACAAAATTGTCCGGATACATCATCTCCTTTATCATCATCATCATCATCATCAATATCAGCAACAACCTCGTCTGCATTCTCATTTTCACCATCTTCCTCAATGATATCACAAGAAACAAACAGAACTATTGTAGTTATCCAACCAGGATGCCAGCGTGAAATAGCATTAGTTTACCTAGTATTACTACTGGGTACAGTATGGATTGCATTGAACCTCCTAAACTTTACTAAAACGTGAGTCATTGATCATTATTTTGTCACTGGCTAATTTTATTGTACTGTCCGATAATATTATTACCTAACAAATAAAAATATATATTCCGTTTCAAATAGAGTCTCACTATGCACTTACTCACAAAACTATTTATAGACACAAAACCTAACTCTAGTGTGGGCTTAGGTTGTTTAAATATAGAGTGAAGTTGATATTATGATCAAACGTTCATTAGATACATTTTTATAAAAAGCTGCATAACTGGAATTTCACTTTAAGCTTATCACTCTAAGTTAAAAGTGAAGATGATATAAGCATACTAAATGTAACAGGTTTTCAGAAACAAAAAGAAGTGAAAATTGTCTATTGTTTCCCACCTTTGATGTTTGTTATCCTATATTTTAGAAACCCGCGCTTCACTGACATAAATATTTTGAAACAGGATTGTTATTAAATACCAGAGATCATGAAATTTATGACAAAATCTTTCTGAATATTAACTTTACAAACCTTGAAATAAAATCAAATGTAGAACATCAATATATACGACAGATTACTGAAAATGCCGCATAAACAGTCAACAAAATTCAAACAACTAACAGAAACAATAGTCTGACGAATAATCCATACAAGAAATTAGGTACACAATGAAGTAAAAAATGAAGCTTGTCACAGATTCAAATTGCGGCATACTCATTGCCGTATACTTACCTGGCCTCCTAGATCCACCACCAAAGAATAAACTGGGAAAGATCATATTGCAGTCAGCTACTGATGGAACCTCATCTAGATAACTAGTTCACTAGGTACTAACCGGTTCTATGCCCGGATAAAGAGGGAAGGTTTGACATAGGGATAGCAACCCTACCCCGAAAATCAATCCAATCACTACAGAAAATTAAAAGCACAAAGAAATCATAAAAAATAAAACAAACTTATTCCTCACTGGAATCAGGGAGACGAAATGACGACAGTTGGTTGGTGAAAGCCTTCGGGAAGCCAATTGGCCTATGTGTCTTCACCTCTATCGATGAAAGCAAAAGTAAACGTGGGGACATGGAATGTCTGCACAATGCATGAAACTAGCAAGGCCGCACAGATTGCAAACGAGATGAGAAGATATGGCATTAAAGTGCTAGGAATCTGCGAAAGCAGATACAACGGAATTTGACTCTCCAAACTATCAACAGGAGAGTCGATAATCTACTCCGATATTATCACCCAAACGACAAGCACGAGCACACTGAGTTATGCAGTGGCTATCATGTTGTCCATTTGAAGATCATCGAAGGCTGTCTCTCGTGCAGTGGGAACCAATCTACTCCAGCATCAGGATCATGACAGCAAGATTCAACTCAAAAGGAAAGCAAGTCACAATCATTCAATGCTACGCTATGCACCTACAATTACTGCAGATGAAGAGAAGAAGAAGGAGTTCCACAGACAACTGCAATAAACACTGGACAACACCCCCAGCCCAGTCAGCGACATCAAAGTTTCATTCTAATGGGCAGGGTGACATGAATGCCAAACTCGGAGCGGACAACACAGGGAGAGAACTGACCGTAGATCGACAGGCACACGGTGAAATGAATGAGAGCGGAGAACTGTTTGCAGACTTCTGTGCGTTCAACGATATGGTGTTTGGAGGCGAGGCACTGTGTTCAAGCACAAAGATATCCACAAAGCGACATGGATTTCACCAGACACCAGGACACACTAAAAATCAGGTCGACTTCATTTCCATCTGAAGAAAGTGGAGATGCAGCCTACTGGACACAGGATCAGATCAAGAAGAGAGAGGAGCAGATGTTGGTTCACTCCAAAACCTATCTGATGCAGGGAACCTATCTTCAAAATCAAGTTGAAAGCCTTCAAAGAAGTTGGTGGTAGATCACACTTAGTGTTCAACACCCACAACACAAAGTGGAGGACGAAACTACAAGGGACATCTTCACATGAGTCAGCCATCAGGACAAAATGGGAGATATTGAGCAACATCCCTGAAGAAACCTGTGTGGAAGAACACTGGAAGTCTTTGAAAGCTGTGTGGAAAGAAACCTGCATAACTGTACTAGGAAGGAAGAGGAAACAAGCCAAGGAATGGATCTCGATGGATGCATGGAAGCTGATAGAGCAGGGAGAGGAGGATGGTGAAGCAGAAGATGAATCAGTACAATGATGAACTATGAGAAGAGGAAGTGAACACAACCTACACAACACTGGACAAAGAAGTGAAGAAGAGTGCGTGCAAAGGCGACAGGCACTTCTACGACACACTGGCCAGTGAGACATAACAGGCTGCAGGTGGGAGAGTCAGAGACCTGACAACACAATATCAAATAACCAGGTTACTATCTCTATCTGGGAGGGAAGAGATCAACACAGCGCAGACGAAACCAATAAAAGATGATGAAGGAAATTTAATGAACAAAGAAGAGAAACAAAGGAAACGATGGACTGACCACTTCGAAAAGCTCTTGAATCGACCACCACCACCACCATCTACAACTCGTCCAGAAATACCACCTGCAGCCCAGCCACAGAACTATTAGTGAACACAAGCCCTCCGACGAAGTTCGAAGTCTTGAACTCTATAAGGCAACTGAAATTTGGGAAAGCAGCAGAGCAGGTGGAACCCCGCCTAAAGCACTGAGAACAGACGCAGAGACAACAGCAGATATGCTCACACCACTACTCCAGAAGGTTTGGAAGGAAGGAATGAAGTAAAGGTATCTGCCAACTGGTTGGAAGAAGAGGTACCCTGTCAAGCTCTCACAGAAGAGAGAGACCTGCGTCTTTGTAAGAACTGGTGCGGAATCATGCTCCACTCCTGTCCACCCAATGCAAGCAAAATATTATGCTGCATCATCCTGGAGAGACTGACATGTGCTCTGAATTCAAAATTACGACCAGAACAGGCTGGCTGGCCGAATTCAGAATGAACAAATCATATGCGGATCAAATTGCAACGTTATGCTACGCATCATCATAGAACAGAGTATGGAATGGCAGTCAACTCTCTACCTCAAACTTATCAACTTTGAAAAGGTCTTCGACAGCGTCGACCGAGAAGTAGTTTGGCAACTGCTTCAATGCTACGGTTTCGGTGCCACAAATCTTTCTCAACCTCATCCAACAGCAGCTCTATGCTATGCGATGAGGCTACAGGCCAAGTGATTCACAATGGAAGCTCAGTGACGACTTTGAAGTGAAGACAGGAGTAAAACAAGGCTGTCTTCTATCATCACCGATAATCTTCCTGATTGTCATCGACTGGACTGGATCATGCAGGAAACCGTGAGGAGTGAGAAGAGGGGCATACGCTGGCTGGACGGATGAAAAGACCCCAGAAGAAGATTCGGATTTCGACGATGATCATTTATGTCTAATGTCTTGTCGCACAAACTCGAAGATCTACAGGCGAAAACTAATAAGTTGATGGAAGAGGCGAGGCAGCAAAAACGAGACTTCAAGTGAATGCAGAGAAGACGCAGGTGATGAGGATACCCAACAAACAACACCATCAACAACAACAAGCTCCAATCACCATAAACGGCAGAAACTTAAAGGAAGCAGTCTCTTTCACCTACCACCTGAGCAGCATCGTTTCAACCACAGGCGACACAGAAGAGGATGTCAAAACCAGGATCAGAAAAGCAAGACAAACTTTCACTAATCTGAAATCAGTGTGGAGATCTACTGAACTCAGCATGTGGAACAACTTCAGGATTTTCAACACCAATTCAGTCACGTCAGTGCTTCCATATGGTTCAGAGAATTGGCGTGTTACGAAAGACATTTCCAACAAACTACAGACATCCATCAACAACTGCCGACTACGCTGGCTCGATACTGACAGTGAAGATCAGATGGCCAGAATAATAAGAATAAGCAACAAGGAAGTCTGACTGGCTGTTAACCAACCAACCAAGAGTCCATCACTCAACAAATATGCACTGGAGGGAAGTGGAGATAGATGTACTGGGCATACACTGAGGAGGCCGATTGGGGACATCACGCGCCAGGCAAGGCGGTCGAGTGGAACCCAGATGAGAAGCGACGAGTTGGGCATACCAGCTGAGGGTGACATGGAGGAGGTGGTGTGATGAATAAATGCGAGCTTGTGGGCAGTGGTGTGGCGAGTTTGTAAAGACTTCGGAGAATAGAGTGTAATGGGGACATGCTACTGAAGCCCAATATTCTACCAGGAACCCAAGGGACAAATAATAATAAATTGTAATAACTGATGGAATACCACTTCGAACTCTGACCACGCTTTGGTATGGGATAATTTCATCTTGTGTTTTGTTGACCATCATCGTCAAGAGATTGATTAAATTGATGGATGCTAGTATTGCAAATGTATAGCGAACAGAGCGAGATTCAGGGCTAACATTGAAAGCTTCAGAAATTGCACTTGCGCAGTGGTGGTACCCTCAATGCGTCATGTAATTGGTGATTAAATCCGACTATTGCTTCGAAGAGCGTCTCACTACAAAACACTTGGTTCTTTTGAACCCCTTGAAAACTTCCTGATGCTCCTCGGTCAATTGCATCTTGATGTGACACAGTCTGTGAAATACCTGGTATACAGATCAACACCCATTTTAGGCAACTGAAATACTGAACAGAATACTTGAAAATACAATTCAGTTAGTCTGCTGCTCTCACAACACCAAACTTCACTATCTTGTTCCTATGATTAGACAATACTAACCCGCTCCACGAAGTGGTGGTCCGTAAGGATCTGCAAGTACTCATGAGCCATAAGTCACCTAGTCTAAATAACTCACCCCCATTTCTGTCAAAGAACCTAGGGAATTGAATATATTGTTTCAAAGGTTGTCAGACTGTGAATGTCCCATCGCTTTTAAATGAGGCCCTTGTTGTACCCATCCTAATGGTATGTCTATACAATGCGTTTGGTAATCACCGGGGTATCAATCTACTACCAATAGCATCTGACGTATTAGTTACTTTCATAATAAGCAGGTTCTGCAAAAATGCATGGAAAACT